CAGGATGCAAATTTCTTTCTTAACGTTTCAATATGGGTCATTAAAAATTGAATATTCCAATCATGCAGAATAATGAGTCCACAGTTAAACAACATATAGAAGATTGAATTCCGTTTTGGGGTCTCATATTTTAACAGAAATACTAATAACATGGCTACATCCAGAGGAAAGCAACCAAGACGAATAGTGTAAGAACATGTAACTTGAAGTAGAGATACAGGGATTGAAACTTTGGAGAACTGTCTTAATCACACAAAGGCTGTCATTGAGAAGAAACAGAGGAGAGAATAGGGACCAAAAGGTAGATTTTATAAGAGGGTGAATTTTGGTTTGAAGGAGGGAGGAATTTTCTAAAGGATGACTTGTCATATGTCTTGGAAAGAAGTGAGCTAGCTCCTTATTACAGTTGGGTGATTGTAGATCAGAGATGTTAGAGAGAATTTCTACAATAACTAATGGATTGGACTAAAGTGCCCTCCAACTCACAAACCCCATAATTATACATTGTGGTGAATTTCAAACTTTTTAAGAGTCTTTACTATGGAGTCTTCTGGAGTCTGCTCAGATCACAATGCGAGAATCAGTTCTGTCAGTTCTTCTTAAGGGATCCTCCCCTTCACCTTAGTCAGTCTGAAGTGGTGCTGCATGGAGGAGGAGAGCCACGTGATAGTTCCTCAGCTCTCTTCCTCAATCCAGTGAGTTTCCTTTTGAATTCCTTTCTTTCTTTTTTTTCCTTTTTTTAAGACACAGAGAAGCAACCGAGAATTGTCTTTGGACAGTTTTGACTTTCATTAATAAGCATGTTTGTAAGACTTTAGGGCTCAGAAGATAATTTATATCCTTCTAGAATTGTGTCTTGTCATAGCTTAGAAATTCAGACTTATCACTTTTACTGTTAAGAAAGTTGACCTCCAGGAAGTTTGCAGACTTGACTTGGGCCACTGAGAGGATTATATGACGAGGCTAGAAACTGACCTCTTACATACTGAATGCCAGAGCTTTTGTACACTTCCCCAAGTCATCCAAGTTCCAAGTCCTCTTGCCTTTGGCGACCATGTTCACCATATTTTATGGATTTATTTGTATTCCCACAAAAAGATATGTTGAAGTCTTAATCCCCCCAGAACCTGTCAATGTGATCTTATTTAAAATAGGGTCACTGCAGACGTACTCAAGTTAACATGAGGTTATACTGGATTGGGGTGAGACCTAACTCAGTGATTTATAAGAAGAGGGAAATTGGGCCTGGACACACAAGACAGAGCCCCGTATGAAGATGGAAGCTGAGACTGGAGTTATGCTGTCACAAGC